CCCCCTCCCGTCCCGCTTGACGGCGACGACGGGAACCTGGAAACATGGAGAATTCCGACGAAAAACAGTTGAACAGCAGGTCAATATCGGATCTCTTTATTGAGGTAAAAGCGCTGAATATGTCCCTTATCGTGCCGTCGTGGAATTGAATCCATAGGGCCGATTATGCGCCGACAAAAAATAAGTAAATTTAGTAAATAATCAACATCATATCAACCGTCATAATACAGTAGTGAATATGTATCCTCAATTTGCCGTACAGAATAAGAAGATACAACTACGTTCGCAAAGATAAGAGGACCAAAGGACACACCTGTATAACTCGGCTTCAACTTTACTACTTTCAGCGTAATAGGTAATGGCAACAGTGACGAAAAACAATCGAAACATAATCGATGGTAGTCCAAGCAGTTTCAACGATGTTCCTCTACTGTCTGTTCATGCCTGTCGCTAATCGGACCCTCTTCAGTGAGACATGAGGACAGAGACAAATCAACAAATAGAGCTATTCGCACACACTCATCGACTCATCAATAAGCTATTTCAAACTTGGCGGAGGAGTGTTTCGAAAATTACCTTCAAACTAATCAATAAAGAAATATTTCACTGAGATTTAATGCACGATTACTTCAGAGTTGAGATGGTCGTTTCAGTATTTGAAGGCGTTCGTCGCAGACGTGGAGTTGCCTAAATTTACCGCTTACATCAGCAATAAGACCTGGTAATTCAACCTCGCTCAACGCTTCACCTTGATTAATGAAAAATACGAAAAAGGCGGCGAAACAAAAAAAACGAAAACCCGTCGGAAAAACCTCTGTTTCACACGATCTCAATAAGCAAGGTTGCATGTTTCCCCGGGATTCTGCCAGTATCCCCTAGCAGTATATGTACTCCAATTATACAGAGGGGGGGCAATAAAAAAAGTCACTTCGATCGAGTCACATATCAGCAAAGTTTTCGCAGCCCAGACAGAGGACGTGGATACGAGTACCAGGGCGGAAGATACCCAAGATGTTCCTCGATAAGCAGGAGCTGGCTCTTGCCCATCAACTTCATGTACACCCAAAATATGATCATCTCAGTACAGTCGTGACTTGAAAGACCTTTGAGAATTCATGTTACCTCAAACAGCTCAGAAACTTTGTAGTTGGAGTCACCTGGAGACCATAACTCTCAATCTGGAAGACCTCCAACATCGAGCAGCTCCGACAACGTCGCTAGGTCTAGGACATCATCTTCACGGCAGTCGCCAAGGCGGTAATATGTATATGTACCGGGAGTCGCACTGGAATGGAAAGACCAATATTTTCTTCGTGGACCCCGGGCTGAAGCTGAGCGCTGGCGGTTACATCGACCAACTCAAGAAGAATATATTCCCCACAGTCGTTGCTCACTTATGGAAAACTTTCTGCCTACAACATTGGGTGCCACACGTGAATCTTAAGGGCTTGAAAAAACTCTCGCTACGTGGAAGAAGGACTGAAGACGCTAAGATGGATCTGGAATATCCAAGTAGGCACTGACCGAATCTCTCATACACTTTTCTACGGAGTCAATTAGGCCTTGGTCTACGTGCCGGAAAAATCGCGACATCCACTGATCTCAGGCACCACATCGGCCGGTCAGCGTTCCAGAATCTTCTCGATGGCGCTGCTCCAGAAACTTCGAGTGCCTCGTCGATAGTATTTAATATGCTCTTTAATATGGTATAGAAATGTCCGATCAGAATTTATAAAGTGTAACTTATAGCGCCTCGAAAGTCAATGAAGCAAAGTGACTTTTGGCCCCCCCTGTATATACCCCGCCCCACCGTGCTCATCGGCCTCGACATAAAATTAGTTACAATAATAGTGGGATGAGTAAAATGCTTTCA